CATTACCTTCAGAATTTAATGTACTTTTATTATTGTAATGTACTACTGCGCTTGTCATCTATTTTGATACCACTCTTATTTAGGGCAACATTATTGTCGACAAGCTTTGCATTAGTCACATCCAAGATTATAGCACTGGCATAAAGAACTTTCAATGTAATCGGATCTAATGTCTTTATTATCGTTTTATGGTATTTCCACCTCCATCCAAATTGAACACCATTTTGATCAATTTCTTCTAAATTATGTGTACCTGCAAAATATATAAATATTTAAATAATTTCAATCATTTTTTTATCTCTCAGAAATTTTGTTTATTAGCGTATTTGATTATTGATTATATGTAATAGATTTTATTGGTATAATGTTATTAGGAAATTGATTATCAAAACAATCCTTCTTCACGATATTAATTATTAATTAGAATTGTTACGTCCAAGCTCCGATTCCGGGAGGAGCTGCGGAAGGGCGCAACGAACTCTGCCCGAGATTCGGTCACGCTCGATCCCCAAATTTCGGAAGGGGCAACGGAGGAGCGTCACCGAGTTCGGGCTTTCGCAGGTACACACCGTGGAGTGTCCTGCGAGTCGATCGTACCTTTAAATGCTCCGGAAAATGGGTCAGTGTCTCGATAGAGACACTGTGACGCCTTTTTTCGTGAGCGGTCACGATCGTTGGTCCTTTAATTTAGGTCAGGGAACTAAATCCCTATGACCTGGGAGTGGACCTGTGCGATCTAACGGGAATTGAGGAAGGAATACGAGAAAGGGTTTAATAAATGAACTTGAAGCGGGTTTTACATTTTAAAATTAAATTTCTTACGCATTTATTAATAACTATAACAATATAAATGAGCATTACAATGGATAATAAAGTTACTGGTAAAAATAAGAATTACAAATTAATTAAATTTTAAATTTAAAATATTAATAAAGTATGTCAAATCTTATGACTCTCATAATTTAATAATCCATATAAAAACTATATAATATAGGTTGGTTAAATAGAGTCAATGGTTGGCAAATAAAATTACAAAATATCGCGCGCGCGCGCGCGCGCGCGTGTGTGTGTGTGTGTGTGTGTGGGACGGGAGGGATAGGAGAAGAGTTAAGAGGAGTTCCTGTGACAATTACAGGGGAGTGCAGGTCGGACGGCATTCATGCGAACGAAAAAGGGGAAGGAGATTCCGGGGAGGTACATGATGATTTCATGTTCCGGGAAGAGATCTGAGGGATGGAAGGAGGTGGAAGAAAAATCAGGAAGGGGAGGAAAAGTTTGTCCAGGGAAAGAGGTGGCGACGGGAGGAAGATAAGTTTGTGGGGGGGGAAGGAGATGGTGACGGGAGGAGGAAGAGTTTGTTCGGGGAAAGAGGAGGTGACGGGAGGAAGATAAGTCTGTGGGGGGAAGGAGGTGGTGACGGGAGGAGGAAGAGTCTGTTCGGGGTAAGAGGAGGTGACGGAAGGAAGATAAGTCGGTGGGGAGAAGGAGGTGGTGACGGGAGGAAGAAAGGTCTGTTCGTCGAAGGAGGTGGCGACGGGGGAAGGTGAATGGGGTTCTATGAGTGGAGGAGGAGTGGGAATCTCGTCCAGAGAAAGGGGAGGAAATCTCTCGTGCATTGAGAGAAGGGAAATCGAGGGGGAATCAAGGGGAGTTAGAAGCGGGAATTTGGTAAGGTCAAGGGGAAACTCTGAGGAGTCAACGGGGGAATAGGAGGGTTCCGGATATTGTAAGTGTGTAGATGTGGGTGTGCGTGTGTCCGTGGCGGGCTGAACGGAGGGAGGCGTAACAATAACCGTAGGACGCGATGTAACGTCTACGGGGAGAAGCGGGGTAGCGTCTACGGGGAGAAGCGGCGTAGCGTCTACGGGGAGAAGCGGCGTAGCTTCTACGGCGAGAAGCAGCGTAACCAACGATTGACGGGGCCGCGGACTCCTATGTTCCTCAATGTAAGGGCCTCTTCGGCGAGGCTCCTTAGAGGCACCCCGAGTGCGCACTAAAATGCGAAGAGGGTATTAGGTGTGGAGAAATAAAAATAAAGAAAAAATTAAAATTTGAGTTTACGTCCAAGTAATTTGTTACGTAAATTCTCTTTTTTCTCTTAGGGAAAGTGAAGGGGAGAGGAAGGGAAATCAAAATGTGTCTTACTTGTAACCCGAAAGAAAGGTGGCGGCGATCGGTTCCCCTGGACACGGTCCATTATGGCGGAGCTGCCAGTCAAACCTGGAGCCAGGTTTCAAAGGGCCTCGGTGGGTCTCGGAGGCGCACGATCGGCCGTAGGTGGTCCAGGTGAACTTCGACGACCTCGGAGACGCACAGACGGGCAAACGGTCGACGGGCCGTAGGTGGGCTTCGGTGCACTGACTCTAACTGAACACCAGATCTTGGTCAGTTGACTCGGGCGATGCCTCGGACAACTGACTGTCGACCAAAGAGGTGACTGAGCGAACAAGAGAGACCGGACAGTTGACTCGGGCTTATCGCCTCGGACAACTGACACGGTGAACCGAAGATTACCACTGACGCTGTGCGCTTCCGAGGGCCTCGTATTTATACCCCAAAAGGGCGGACTTTTCCTTTGTCTAAAATTTTTGCAACTCTAGCAACTTGTGACATGATTTACGATTTTTCTTAACTCCTATCGATATTGATATCTAGCGTCTTCTAGGAAGAGCTCCGGGAATAAAGGATTTTACGATTTGTGCTAGTCCTATCAAGGTTGATTTCGCGTGTTCTCGGAGAGTTAAGAAAAATAAAGTAATTTACAATTTTTCTTAAGAGTATTATGCGTAGGAAATTACTGTCGGGACCACGTCGCGCTTTGTTATAGATAAAATATATGACCAGAAGAGTCGTCGGTTTCCGCGCTGCATTTACATTTATTGGATGTCAAATAAACATTGCCGTGGGAAATTTTTTAAGAGTTTTACGATTTGGCACAATGGACATGGCGCCAGTTATTTTTTTTTTGGTAGTTTTCCTTAGAGTTACGGATCATTCCCAGATGATACTTTAGAGTGTTTGTTATCTAATGACCGCTTAGAAATATGTGGTTTCGCAATTTTTATCGCCGTCAGCCCTTTGTACGCAAGTTGTTTTCCTCGTTTTATTTTTCTTTTGAGTGGCATTTACCCATGGCATTGAGTTTTCCCAGCGCGTGGTGTTTACTTAGGCCTCTATTATCAGATATCCGTGCTCGGGCCTTCTCGTAAATCTCACTCTAGTCATGACGTTGACCAAGATCCTTTGAAAGAAAAGAATCGTGGGGTCTACAGGACGTAACAGAATCATAATTTGTAAACATATACTTATGAAGATATACGTGATTGAAAACTTGTTAACTTACACTCCAAAATCTTGAATCAAATATAGTGTTCTAAGTGAGAAATCAAACTATAATAGTTTTTTGTATTATTATTGAAAGATAAAGAAATGAAAATGAATATGTATCTAAAAAATACTATTATACGTATTACCATGAAAAATGACTCATATATATTATTGAAGGTGCCATTTTAAAGTAAACATACATAAAGTATATATTCTTTTGTTGCATATATATGAAATAATAATGATTTAACATTACTATTATAAACATCTAGTATGCATGTGTTGTTAGATCATTATTACGTATATATGCAACAAAAGAATATACATTTTATGAATGTTCACTTTGAACTGGCACCTTCAATAATATATCAGTTACTTTCCATGTTAATATATTTCATTATTAGATAATTATTTAAAGTTTTAAAGATTTCAATACTAAAACCAAGTAATTTTATGTTTTGAGTAACTGTATCAAATAAGTTTTATCTTTATTATTATAAGAGAATTGATTCTTTGTGCTGTATTTTATCTTCAGGTTTATTGAAGGGAAAGTCCTGAAAAGAAAAGGCAAGCATATTTTAAAACCATACCTTTTTTCTTTTCAGACTTTTCCTATCAACAAGCACAAAGAATCAATTCTTTTATAATTATATAAGGAATATAGAAGACAAATTAAGGTATCTACCAAACAAATAAACAGATCTGTAGACACGGTAGTGTCTCAGTAAATAAGTAACCTAACCAAATGCTGTAAAAAGGAAATAATTACATAGAAAATAATTTGTATTCTTACAGCGGAATTACAGCAGAGAATCTGTGTAATAAAGCAGTAAAGCAGAAAATATCTAACCTCACTTATGTGTTCGTCTATTCTATGCTATCGATTTCCTAACCTCAATCTTTTGTTATTGCCGAGACACTCAATAATCCGACTTTAACGATCGTACAGATCGCAGCGATCGATATTGTCACGATCACTTTTATCTTTTGCGCCAAAAATTCCAGAATGCATTTCCTCATTCCGTAGCTGGCGGCGACGACGACGACGACGACGACGACGACGACGACGACGACGACGACG